CCCTCCCTCCCAAACACACACACACACACACACACACACACACACACACACACACACACACACACACACACACACACACACACAAAGCGTTCGTTCAGAGAGGGGGAGCCGCCTCATCACTCACTCACACACACACACACACACACAAAGTGAAGTGTTCGCTCAGGCAGGGGGGCTGCTCCATCACGCCCCTTCACCTCTGCCAGCCACTGCTCCACAGTTCTCCCTTTCCCCTCGGCCCGGGAGCAGAAGGTCTCCTTCTTGTAGCGGCTGTGGCCAAACGCCCGCGTCTTCGGTTGGCCACTGCGCCTGCAGTTAAAGTGGGAGACCTTCTTTGCTGGTTTTAAGTGTTCTCTGGCAGATAGGTGCTTCCAGAAGAGAATGGCAGCTTGTGTGAAAAAGCTTGTTTTCTCAGCCTGAGAAGCTCATTCAGCACACTTAGTTGGAAAAACACCAAAGTCCCACAGAATTGCATGTGAAAAAGGAAAAAGCCAGAATTACATGGGAAAAGCAAAAAAGTCAATTTTAATATTTTTGTTCATTACAGCCAAACTAAGTGAGAGAGCCACACCAAACCACTTATGCATCACTTTAATTATGCCACTGTGAAGCTTTGCAAGTCCAGAATGAATTATTCTGTGGTCAAGTGTGCCCTCTTTTGTTGAAAAAGCATAACTGCATTTGGAACACAGAAAACCACTCTATAATGTACAAGTCACCGCTGTGAAGCTTCCTTAGGTGGAAACTGGCAGATAGGTGCTTCTGGAAGAGAATGGCAGCTTGTGTGAAAAAGCTTGTTTTTTCAGCCTGGCACACTCATGTGGAAAAACACCAAAGTCCCACAGAATTGCATGTGAAACAGGAAAAAGCAAGAATTACATGGTAAACGCAAAAAAGTCACTTTTAATAGTTTTGTTCATTACAGCCAAACTAAGTGAGAGAGCCACACCAAACCACTCTATAATGTACAAGTCGACGCTGTGAAGCTTCCTGAGGTGGAAACTGGCAGATAGGTGCTTCTGGAAGAGAACGGCAGCTTGTGTGAAAAAGCTTGTTTTCTCAGCCTGAGAAGCTCATTCGGCACACTTAGGTGGAAAAACACCAAAGTCCCACAGAATTGCATGTGAAACAGGAAAAAGCCAGAATTACATGTGAAACGCAAAAAAGTCACTTTTAATAGTTTTGTCCATTACAGCTGAACTAAGTGAGAGAGCCACACCAAACCACTTATGCATCACTTTAATTATGCCACTGTGAAGCTTTGCAAGTCCAGAATGAATTATTCTGTGGTCAAGTGTGCCCTCTTTTGTCGAAAAAGCATAACTGCATTTGGAACACAGAAAACCACTCTATAATGTACAAGTCACCGCTGTGAAGCTCCCTTAGGTGGAAACTGGCAGATAGGTGCTTCTGGAAGAGAATGGCAGCTTGTGTGAAAAAGCTTGTTTTTTCAGCCTGGCACACTCATGTGGAAAAACACCAAAGTCCCACAGAATTGCATGTGAAAAAGGAAAAAGCCAGAATTACATGGGATACGCTAAAAAGTCACTTTTAATATTTTTGTCCATTACACCCAAACTAAGTGAGAGAGCCACACCAAACCACTCTATAATGTACAAGTCGCCGCTGTGAAGCTTCCTGAGGTGGAAACTGGCAGATAGGTGCTTCTGGAAGAGAATGGCAGCTTAAATGAAAAAGCTTCTTTTCTCAGCTGTTGTTCGACGTCATCCCGAGCACATGGTTACTTATCATATGGCGAATTAAAGGCACCTGCACGCATTTAAAGCAAGGAGACCTGTTTTGTTAAATGTGCATTAATATTTGTATCGTTTTGGCCTCCTGAATGGCTCCAGGTTTAAAAAGTCAAGTTAAAAAGTATTTAAATAGACATGACAAGGTTTTGATCAATTCAATATTTATTAGGAATGGTCAAAATGTATAATAGATAAGCTGGGAAAGTGCAATGTAGCAGCAGCATTACACACAGTAACAACACACAGACATATCAAAAAAAACAACATAGAATGCAATATAAAAAATGGATAAATAACCAGTATAATTGCAGTGCAAACTAAAAATAAAAAATATAAGGTGCAGTGAACAGATGAAACATATAAGGTGCTTGGATAATAGTACAGTAAATATTAAAAAAAAAAAACTTTTAATGTCTTTTTAAACTCTTCTCAGCCAGCCACAGCTCCACAGTCTTCCCTTCATAGAAAGCACAGAAGTGCTCTCCCCCATATTGGCTGTGGCCAAAGTCTTTCTGCTGTGGCTGGCCACAGAGTTGGCAGATCCGCAGTTTGTGGGGCTTCCTCACTTTCCCACCTGGTTTCTCTGGTTTCTCATGCCTCTGTTTGAGGTTCCAGGCTGTTGTTCTGGGGAGCTTCTGTAGCTCACCAGGGCCAAGCTGTTCCCTGATCTACTCTTGCACTGTGCGTCTTCCAGGGCCCTCTTCCACAGCACAAAAGTATTGGCCCTTGAGGTAAGTGTGGCCACCATCCACCGTGCATGCTTGGCCACGGATGTTGCAGGGGTCACCAGGTTTGTGCTGTGGCTTTCCCCTGGTACTTTGGAGGACTTTTTTGTCTTTTGCTGCTTTAATTTTGCGCCTGTACACAGTGCAACGGGTGGGCTTGCTGGTCCCCGCCACTGGCTCTGCTGCCTGAAGCCGTCAAGGAGAGGAGCTGGAGGAGGAGAAGGAGGAGGATGTGCAGTCGTAGTCCACTTAAATACAAATACAATACAGAACTCTGTTAGTCAAGGTACATAGAAACACAGATGCAGTTTAACAAAGTATATTTCTAACAAACCTAATGAAGTGACGTGTTTGGTTTTCCGCGTTGCTTTTCTGCCTTCCATTCTGTCCAACTAAACCCTCAGCACCCCCTGTTGTTTTACAGTGTCCATTTGAGGCCCATTCTCACCTAGTCTCTAGGTAAACCTTTGAACCTGACCCTGGGTTGACCCCTTGACCCTAGTTTTAAGTGAGGAGAGGGAATGATGTATTGTGTGACTGTTACCTGTGGGAATTTAGTGATATCAGGCACCTAGTCTAGATACCTAGTCTTCCCTATATTTATTTAATTTCTTAAAGACCGAAAGAAGCAGGAGAAAGCATTGGTTTAAAAAAGAAAAGTTTATTTAAAACAAAAACAATTAAGACAGCAATATACAACTATATAGATATATATAGGAATTTCCCCATTGTGGGACAAATAAAGGAATATCTTATATAAGACAACTATATACACAATATTTATTTAGCAAACATAATTGACAAACTAAATACACTATATACACAATATTTACAAATCCCTCCCTCCCAAACACACACACACACACACACACACACACACACACACACACACACACACACACACACACACACACAAAGCGTTCGTTCAGAGAGGGGGAGCCGCCTCATCACTCACTCACACACACACACACACACACAAAGTGAAGTGTTCGCTCAGGCAGGGGGGCTGCTCCATCACGCCCCTTCACCTCTGCCAGCCACTGCTCCACAGTTCTCCCTTTCCCCTCGGCCCGGGAGCAGAAGGTCTCCTTCTTGTAGCGGCTGTGGCCAAACGCCCGCGTCTTCGGTTGGCCACTGCGCCTGCAGTTAAAGTGGGAGACCTTCTTTGCTGGTTTTAAGTGTTCTCCCAGCTCCCGGCACAACGCTCTTTCTCCTCCTGGAGCTTGCGCCTCCAGGCGGTGTTCCTTGGCACTGGTGGAGCAGTGGCAGCTGTGGCTGTGGAGGGGATGTCACCGGCCTCCGCGCTGACGCTGGTGGACAGGACGGCGTCCGCGCTGGAGGCTTGTGGGGTGGCTGATGAGGAGGAGGAGGAGGCAGTGGAGGAGCTGGCGACGATGAGGTCCAGGACCAGAAGCGTCCGTGGGCAGGCGGTGCTGGAGGGGCTGGTCTGGCTGCTCAGGCTGCTGCAGCACAGTCGGTGGGGCAGGCAGGGGCTCCGCTGCAGTCTGGGGAGTGCTGGGCCCCAGGACTGCAATGGCGATGGTGTCCCTCATCATGGCCTTGCTCCTCTGGTTGTGCCTTAAAAAACAGAATGTAACAAATGCACATTAGTAATCATGACATCACACACACACACTCACACAGTGCCACTTCAAATCAGATGTGAGAGAAAGGATCAGGTCTTACCATTGCGTCAGGGTCCGCCGATTGACATCATATAGCTGGATGCGGGTGCTCGTCATGAGGGCTGCACAACTATAAACATTCTCGCGAATTGTTAGATAGTCCCTCATGACGGCACCCCAGCGAGGAATCCAGACCCCGGCAATCTTCCTGCCCTCGCTGCAGTGGAGGATGCTGAGGTCCAGCAGGACAGCCTCCACAAGCCTCGACACATCGGGAGACTGCGCCGCTCCCGCCCCCCTTGCCCAGGACCGCACTACATAGACAGAGAGAGAGAGAGGAGAGAGAGAGAGAGAGAGAGAGAGAGTGAGTCAGTGAGTTAATTAGTGACTGACAGGACAGGACAAGAACCAAAAAAGCTTGGAAATTTATTGTGACTGCTTACCGCTTCACACTATCCACACCCCTGGCATGTGAGCGTGCCGCTGGGTGGTCCGGAATCGGCCTTGGACAAGCCGGCCCTGGTGACGGGGGGGGGGAATTTGACCGCTGCCTTGTCCCAATCACTCAACTTCAGCCAGAGAGCGGTGATCTCTCTGGCTTGCCTGGGAGTGACGTAGCGGCGGTGGCGCAGTTCCACGAGGGCCTGGGCCAGGGCCACGACGTGCTGGTAGCTGCCTCCACCTGGCCCGATAACATCCTCCTCCTCCTCCTCCTCCTCCTCCTCCTCCTCCTCCTCCTCAGCCTGCTGCACCTCCATTTGGTCCACGCGGGTGAGGTTTGAGGACTGAAGGAGAGCGCTGTGGTGTTCGAGGAGACGAATCTCCTCTGGTTCCTCCTCCTCGAACTCTTCATCACTGCCCCCCCCGGCTTCGTCCTCATCAGTCCCTCCTGGAGCGTCAGGATCATCCAGGTCCTTCTGCAGCACAGCGCCCGTCTGGGAGAACAGGTACTCCACCCCAATGAGTTCCCCTGTGGGCACACAGAGACACAGATGTTAAATGACAGACACCTAAGACAGGTGTTAAACGTTACCGTTACCTCAGACAGATTTATGACTTACCTGTGTACTCCCTGGGCATGGTGTACGTGTCGACCAGCGTGAGCCCAAGAAGCTCTTGGGTCAGCTGGTCGAAGCTGTGCTGCAGCTGGGCACTGTAGCAACGCAGCGCCGACCTCTGGCTTCCCTCGATTCTCGTTCCACCGCACCAGGCCCTCCAGCAGGTACACCTGGAAGTGTACATCACTTGCAGATTGTCCTAAGCAGAAACAAAGCAACACAGTTAGTGTGAGGACAAATAAACACACAAATACATAATTGAGTCTGTGTTGTAAACCACACATGTACTTACCTGGGATGAAGCGGCACAGGTGCAGGTGGAACGATTCCAGGGAAGTGGAGCCTCGGCCGCACCGGTAGACGGGGAGCCTCACCCCGCCTTTGGTGAGCTCTCCCGTCTTGGTGTAGAGGTCCACTCCCGCAGGGTCCTGGATGCAGTCGAGGTGTCGGCGCTGCGTGCTCCAGATCTCCTCCATTCGGGCGCGGTCGATCAAAGGGACGCCCATGCTGTCCGTCACGTGCCAGAAGGTGTCCAGCACCTCTTGGACCAGCCGCTCCGTCTCCACTGCACCCCTGGTGCGGCGCCGGCAGTGACGGGCGAGCTCCTTGGCGGACAGCTTGACCTCCTGGGCGTCCCTCCCCTCCTCGGACTGCTTGGCTCCTCTCAGGCGGGACACGTCTTCGGCGTCCCACTCAAAAATGGCGAAGGAGAGCCTCGCCATGAAGAGGCCGTAGAGCTGGTGGCTGTCGGTGGTCACCCCTCTGGCGAAACGCCGCATGAGGTGCCACACGTCGAGCCTGACGACCAGCTCGTGCCACTCGTGGAACAGCTTGGACGTTTGACACTGTCCCACGGTGGCACAGCAGTCCCGGTCCACGTACAGGACCCTTGGAGGGGCCTTCCCGGCTTCGCGGTACCATGCCATGTCGACAAGTCCGCCCCCCTCAGCTGCAGTGAGGACGGACATGAGCACCTGCCCGTACTCATTGCCGACGTTGGTGACCCAGGCGGCCGTCCCGGCAGCACCGCCCGCAAGCTTTTTGGTGATCTGTGTGACACAGCAACACAACAACATTCAGACACATGACAAAACAAACATTACACTGGGTACACGGCACGCTGTGGTGGATAACAAAACCTACCTTCTTGGTGGAGTCCATCTTCAAAAGATCACCAAAGATGGAAGTGACTCTGGCTCTCGTCTCGTCGAGCCTCGTCAAGGCGTCCCTGACGTAGACGTTGATGAGCCAGAGCACTGTGGGCACCGGGTGCATGGTTGGGAGCGACGACGCCGCCAGCGGCGCAGCGCCCGGTACCCGAAGCTTGCGGAGCACGGAAAGGTACAGCATCGACCGCGCCATCCACTCTCTGGTGTGCTGCTCCACCAGAGAGGCACGGAGGCGAGACGCACTGTTGCCCAAAGTGCGCTCCTTCATGAGCCCGATCACAGCTCTGTCACAGGACAACCTGGGAGGGGAAAGAGGTGATCAGAGGTTACTGGAGAAAACCACAGAAATACATTACTGTTGCTGTTACTGTTTACATTACTTACTTGTACGTGAGAACTGCTGGAAACTGCTCACGATGGGCCATGTCCAGCTGTCCCAAGATGTCCTGCGACCATCCCGGCATCTTCTTGTGACAGGAGCTGCATTCCAGGTACTCCGTGCCCATGAAGTACCAGCAGCTCCTGTCCAAGACCCTCCTCACCGTCTTGTAGAGGCCAGCTCCCCGCAAGCTTGCCCCCACAGGCGACGATGGGGCAGCGGAGGTGGTACGCCCACATCCTGTAGGGCACCCACAGGAAAAAGGGACTCTGGAAAAAGGGGTGGGCTGTGGCGGGTGGCTGGGTGTAGAGGGGCCGGGCACCTGGTGGGTGCCACCACAGGCGGAGTTCAGATGTGAGGACACCCTGCCCGTTGGGTGCCCTCCTGAACAGTGCCCGGCCCACCCAGTCGTGCTGCTCTTCGGGGAGCGTCAGCCTCCAGCCACGTGGTAGCAGCTGAAACACACAGCAGTGTCAGACCGTTAGTGTACTGAACACAGACACACACACACTACAACACAATATGTCATCACTGAGCATACCTGTGCGCCGGGGCCTGACCTCTCCCCACAGGTGTTGTCCTGAAGGGGACGTTCCGGTGGCTGGGAGAGAGAGAAGGGGGGCACGGCTGATGGGGCATCCCTGCACGGGTCGACCTCCATGGCGGCAGCGAGCAGGTCAGCATCCGAGGGTCCATCATGGGGACCAACAGCGTCCAGGGGTGGTTGTGGTGGTTGTGCTGCCAGGGCTGCCTTCTCTGCATCCCGGGCCTGCACATATTTTTTTAAGTCCACCAACCTGGACGCTTTGGCTGTGGGTGCCGCCTGCCTCACAAACTGTACATAGCTAAAAAAGAGAACAGAAATGCAATGGGTAAAAAAGTCACGCACACACACAGACATACACACACAGACACAGATACAGATACACACACAGACACACACAGATACACACACAGACACACACACACACACACACACACACACACAAACAAACAAACAACTTACCTTGCCCGCTCACGGTCCGTCGACTCGTACAGGGTCTTGTAGGTCAGGTCACTATGAACACCGAACCCCACCAGCGTGTCGTCCACGCCCCTCATGGTCTGGGGACTGCCCTCGAGCATCCTACGCCTGTCGATGGCTGCCACCATCGGCGGGAACAGCCTGATGGTGATCGGTGGGGTTACCTCCCTTCTGCACCACCCTGTCTCTTGCCTCAGAGCGCACCAGCTCAGGGGTCTTAACCACCACCAGGGCAGTGGCAGAGGCAGAGGCCCCCCTCTGGCGGCGGCTCAAGGCCAGCGCCTCCTGAGAGGCCCGCAGGGTCAGGTCAAGGTTTGCCTCAAAGCGGAAAATAGGCTGCATTTTCTAGAAAGACAAGAAATAAGATTTAAGTCAGTAATCTGCTACACATGCACTGTTTACATCCTACTGACAGTCTATTACTGTACTCAATGATACTGTGCCCATTCATTAACATACATTCAACATCAGGCGTCCTGTTTACACATTTAAACCATATTTACACTTTGAATTTTGACTTCAAACTGTAGTAACTACATCTACAGGGTCTAAGGAAGATAATCAGGTAGTCTGTTTAAAGATTAAATACATTGTGAGAGATCGCCAGCCCTCAGAAAAGTAGTAACTAAAATGACCTCATTCACCTCCTTGTTTTTAGCTAGCAAAATCACGGCTGGTCTGTTTACACATTTAAACCATATTTACACTTCAAATTTTGACTCCACCTCGTTGTACCAGCATACCAAGGGTCTTAAGAAGTGAGCCAAGTTGTCTCATCACGTTTTTAAAGCGTTTCCAGAGATCGTCAGCTCATCACAGCAGTGGCTAAATGCTCATTCATTTCCAACGCTTAGCATGCTAATAGCGATTTATATGCTAACGCATCTAAAGCACAGTTAAACTTTAAATATCAACTCCACACAATAGCAGTACAATATCCTAGGTCTCAACAAGTAAACCCAGTATGGGAATATTATTTTAAACACATTTCACCGATCGGTAATGCCATCGGCGGCAGTCCTAACTTACGCTAACGTTACATTGGCTCGCTGTTTCACTGCTAACTGATTACTGTATAATATATAAGCTGCCTTTTCAATGTAGCACATAATTTTACAAACAATAAAGTTTGTCTAACCTTATAATATTGTGTGAATGTCCGTCCGTCCGCTCACTCAAACGCCGCTCAGTCCGAATGAATGAATGACACTGACCGTGGCTGTGGCTTTGGGGGTGGGCGGGACATGCGGCGAGCTGTCGAATCACAGCACAGCACCCAAATGGAACAGACCAATGGGGTTGACCTGGCCTTCACCCATTGGCCTGTTCCATTTGAGCATGAGCCAATGATAGCCTCTGAAATCGGTAGGTGGGGACATTTATGTGGAACACAGGTACAGAGACGAAGGCTGTCCCAGAGCAGAGGCGCTCCCCCAGCGTTCTTCTCTGTTTTGGTCGGCACCCGCGCATGCGCACTAGAGCGCAAAAGACGCGCGGTCGACGTGCGGAACGGCACTCCCGCTCGCCGGTTCGAATCCCGACGGAGGCAAACTGCGAAACGCGTGCATAGCGTCGAAATGTCTTCTCTAAATATAAAAAAATGATTAAAACATGCTTGGAACCGTTGTATAGAGTCTATAAATGATAATGAATTTGCATATTTCCAAGGCCAGGCAATGCAATAATAAATGGATTTTTCATTTACAGTACGGTTTATCTCCTGTGTCTTCATTTTATTGAGAATATGTATCATCAGTGTTTATTGAGAATATGTATCATCAGTGTTTATTGCTTTAAATTTGATATAGGACAAGAGAACAATGATACCAGTATAAAATGATGACAATTTATTTGAAATATGAAGTCAGATGTCCAGGATACAGGACAGTGCAGCATATCAGTGTGGAAAGGGCTTTACAAATAAAATACAATTCTCAGTAAAAAAGGGTAAATAAATTATTTATGTATAAATTAAAGTTACATGCTGTGTATGATTTGTTTCCACTTTTTCTTCAGTGAAATAAATATCAATTAAATATATTGTTGTTGTGTTCTGCATCTTCACAACAACAACATCAAACACAGCAGAAGTACAGAGCAAAATAGATTATTTAAACTACAATCCAATAATAATAATAATAATAATAATAATAATAATAATAAATGGTGATGCAGAACAGAGCAGTGGCACAAGGCAATCACAGCAGGCAGACACATAGTATAAGAGCTCAGCACAGATATGCATGGATACATAACACAGGGGCATTACAGTGTGAAGTACCTGTACATACAAGGCTTTTTATTTTTTTGGCAGCAACAGAGCCAGTGGCAACAGCAGATGAACCAGCACAAATGGCAGTCCGATATCTTGCGTCGCAGCTACTGGATGTAACTGATGTAACAGTGATCACATTAATGAACATACCCACATGTCCAAAATATAAAAAATAAAAAAACTTGTCAGTGCATAGAATCAGAACAGCACAGAGGCATGACAGCGTGTTATACAGGTGTGAATGGGACACACAATGATTCCCCCCCCTTAAACCATATGACAGGCAGCAGACACACAGCAGGCCTATAAGACTTGTCAGTGCATAGAATCAGAACAGCACAGAGGCATGACAGCGTGTTATACAGGTGTGAATGGGACACACATTTTTTTCCAAGCAGAGTGTCACTGTGCTGTAGAAGAGTTGTGGCAGGGTGGGTGGACCGGTGTTGGTAGAAAGCCTCCACACTGCGGCAAAGTCCCGGTCCTTGTGGAGGGGAAAGTCAATGTCTTTTAAAAAAAAACACACACACACAACACTGCAAACAACTATATACACCTGCCCCAGCAAGAGTGCGAAATCAGTCCAGGTCTCGACCCTGGTCCCTCTCCTTCATCTCCCTCAGCCAGTCCTCCACACTCTTACCCGCCGCAGCAGAGCAAAAATGTCCACTGCCGTAACGGGTGTGTCCGGTCTCCCTCCGCTTTGGCTGGCCGCACTTCCTGCACTTCTGTACTTGTGGCACGCCGGCCCGGGCAGAGACACCTGTTCCTGGCGGTGCCGCTGCCCTCTGCTCGGCCTTCTTCCTCCTCAGCCATTCAGTTTTGTACGTAGAGAGAGGCTGAGGAGGAGGAGCAGGAGGTGCTGCCTGCACTGCTTGTTGTCCTTGCTGTCCTGGCAGCAGCTGCAGTGCAGGCAGCTGAGGGCCGGCGTGACGTGCGGCGGCCAGCGGCAAAGGGAGGACGTGTGGGGCTGGCTGAGGGGCACACGCGGCAGAGCTGGATGCACACTGCCTCTACCAGCCGGCTTGCACTGGGACTGCTGGCAGGTCCAGAGGTCTGTCCGACCAGGCAGCTGCGGACAACGGACAAAAACAATGATGGATATGAGCATGCTGTGAACATTACAATAGCTCGTGTGTACGTCAGGGAAACGTGTGATGGAAGTGTAGCCTTACCGTCTCATGTTCTCCACACCAGGTATACTGGTGCGGCTAGGCTTCGCTGCCTTGAAGCGCCCCCGAGCTGGCCTGTCCCTGTAGCGGGGAGGGTAAACTACTCGGTCCCTGTCGAATTTTGACAGGGCCTCGTAGAGCCTGATTAGCTCATCTACCCTCCCCTCGGACAAGGCCGGTTCGAAACGCAACCCCACCAAGGCCGTGGCCAACTGGACCACGGCCAGGTACCCCGGCTGGTCATCTGGTCCTCTGTAGTCCTGCAGACACACAAGCAGAGACAGAAAACAATCAGTCAGATGAATGGGAGGAAAAGAGCGCAGTGTGGTGATGTGAGATGCAGAGGTGGCGTGCCTACCTCAGACGCAGGGGGCGTCCAGAGGAACAGCCGACATGCGAAGAAGGCAGCTGGTGAGGCGGGTGGCTGAGTATAACTCGGCCGGGGCTGAGGGGGGATCCCACCACAGCTTGAGGTCCGTGGTGAGTTTAGTCCTCCCCTTGCTGTCTGGCTGGAACGGCTCCCGGCCGATCCACTCCTGCTCTTCCACGGTGAGAGCTGTCCGCCAGCTCTCAGGCAACCGGGCCTGTGAGGAAAAAAACAACACAAACAAACAAACACACTGTAAGGAGGCTGAGTCGGTGCTACATGCAGTTTGACAGTCGACTCCACTGAGTTGTGCGTCCATGAGTACAGGTGGGTGTGTGTGTGTGTGTGTGTGTGTGTGTGTGTTTGTACCTCAGCCGAAACAGGAGTGGGAGCTGCGGGCTGCTCCACATTCCTCTCCTTCCTCTTCCATCTCCACCTCCTCCGACGGTGCCGGAGGAGGTGGAGATGGAGGCGTCACCACCAGCGGGAGCGGGAGAGTCTGAAGGACCTGTACGTCAGCTTCAGACACAGTCACACACAACAAAATAGATTCAGCACAATGATAGTCATGGGACAAGACTAAGTGAGTCTGAGTGTTGATGACATGCAGTATGCCAGTGATTAGGGCAGAAGGTTTAGTGCTACAAGATGCAGCAGAGCCAAGGGAAGTAGACATGTGAAGGCGTTTAATCAAATCTACATTACCGCCACATGAGTGAGGATGGCACTACCACCTACGAAGATGGCTATATTACCTGCCAAACCTACCTTTGTCCTTCAAGCATCAGCTGTAGCGACCAGTAAATGAAACAATTACAGTTAATACAAACACACTGACAGAAGAATATATATTGATGGCAAATGTGACACGTCCAGTTTGGTGCCAGTTACCTGTTTCTATGTCAGTGGCCATCTGGACCAGTTCCTCGTCCGTCACCTCTGTGGCGTGGGGCGGCGGCGGAACCGAGGGGCGCTGGTCTCTGAAGGATGTAGACACCGCTATGGGGGGGTTGGGCAATGGTTAGTAAATCATGTACAGTGAACTGTACTCTGTTGTGTTAAAGAGAAAGAAAGAGATCTACCTCGAACTGCAGGCTGTGCAGGTGTGGTCATCAGCTTCCTGACCTTGGCCTGCAGCTCACCTGGGCCCATGGGACGCCGGCGGCGATCTTGGAGGCGATCGGCTTGTGTGGCTACAGCGCGGTGGAAGCAGCGGCCTTGCTGGGGCCACTGCTGGTGGTGGTGGGGGCGCTGCTGCTGATGCTGCGGCTGCTGGTGGGTGGAGGGGGGTAGCAGCCGCAGCTGCCGCCTCTGCCGACCGCTTCGCGTCTCGGCCCAGGATGTACTTCCTGGCGGCGTCCATTGCAGTCCCAGGGTGCAGTGTCCTCCCTCGAAGCCACTTGACAAATCTACAACATGGACGGCATCACATTAGTGAACAATAATGACATACAGCAATTCACAATCCATTGTGTGTAGCACCAATCACTCACCCTTGGCGGTCCTTATCAGAGGACTCGTACAGGTCCTTCAGGGTGTCCTCTTTAAACTTCCCAAAGCCAACAAGGGCCTCGCCCTCACACCCGGGCTGACTGGCACGAGCCCGGGCCTCCTCGTGCGCCCGGTGGAATCTTATGTGTTCAGCGAACTCCGGGTGGGTGCACGAGTACTGGGCGAGAGCGTCCTTGTTGGCCATAAGGGGGCTGTCGGAGGCACTCTTCTCCCGCTCCCGGCTGGCGACCAACTGTACCGTGTAGCCCACGTCGTTCTCCAGGAGCCAACGGAACGTTTGACCCTGGTACTTCCCAAACTGGATGCTGTGGCAGCTCAGCACCAGCATGTGGTTCCCAGGGTCACCGCCCGTGGAGACGACGTGGGCTTGTGCCTCCTTCTCCACCTCCTCCGGCTTCTTGGCCCTCGCAGCAGCGGCGGCCCCGCGTGGCCCCTTGGCGGCGATGTAGGCCACCGCCTCACCAGAGGCCCGCAGGAGAAGCTGCTGCGAGGCTGTGAATTGCAGTTTTGCAAAAACCATTTCTACAATGACAAGAAATGACACAGCACAGCATTAAAGGAGCATTACAGGTTAAACTACATATTAACTGCTATATTACCAGGAATATCACACATAAGATTAATGATATACTGGTACTTCACATTCACTATTGAAACATTACCGTTAACAAACTAACATCACGTGACACAACAGGTAAATAATGAGCCCAGGGTTAGCCCCCTATGCATTGGCAGCCATTAAACAAACAGGCTTATTGTTAATGTATAAAACATACACTTAAACTTTATCTTTTGATTTCACCTGGTGATATTATAACCTTAAGGCTCTAAGGACATTAACTGTATAGTCTTTTCATACTTTAATTTTGTTTTCAGAGATCGTCACATGTTGTAATTATACTGTAGCATCCTAGCTACAGCTACGTTACATTACATTACATAATGGCGATCTCTCAAAATGTATTTAATCTTTAAACAGATTATGTGCTACAGCGAAAAGGCAGCTTATATATTATACAGTAATCAGTTAGCAGTGAAACAGCGAGCCAATGTAACGTTAGCGTAAGTTAGCACTGCCGCCGATGTCATTACCGATCGGTGAAATGTGTTTAAAATAGTATTCCCATACTGTGTTTACTTGTTGAGACCTAGGATGTTGTACTGCTATTGTGTGGAGTTGATATTTAAAGTTTAACTGTGCTTTAGATGCGTTAGCATATAAATCGCTATTAGCATGCTAAGCGTTGGAAATGAATGAGCATTTAGCCACTGCTGTGATGAGCTGACGATCTCTGGAAACGCTTTAAAAACGTGATGAGACAACTTGGCTCACTTCTTAAGACCCTTGGGATGCTGGTACAACGATGTGGAGTCAAAATTTGAAGTGTAAATATGGTTTAAATGTGTAAACAGACCAGCCGCGATTTTGCTAACTAAAAACAAGGAGGTGAATGGGGTCATTTTAGTTACTACTTTTCTGAGGGCTGGCGATCTCTCACAATGTATTTAATCTATAAACAGACTACCTGATTATCTTCCTTAGACCCTGTAGATGTAGTTACTACAGTTTGGAGTCGAAATTCGAAGTATAAATATGGTTTAAATGTGTAAACAGGACGCCTGACGTCCACGTTCAATATTAGCATAAGCTAACCAGAGAGTGCCGGCAGAACGTAATAAAACATTAACTCCATTCAGTACATCATATCAGTACATTAATATTCTATTTATTTTGGTTTTACTCACTCTCTCAGATCTCACTGCTCTCTCAAATACACACGGGGATTTCTGTCCGTCGCATACGGCAGCCGGTGAGGTTAAGAGGTGGGCGTTAACGTCTAACGCTCGACTAACGCTCGACAATCCGAGCTGCTGATTGGCCCAGAGCTGACAACGCTCGACTAGCGCTCGACAGCACTGGCTGCTCATTGGCCCAGAGCTGACAACGCTCGACTAACGCTCGACAGCACTGGCTGCTGCTCATTGGCTGGCATACAGAGACCATTGCTGGTCATATTGCGCGAAGAAGCAAGGGAGCCGTGCGGAGCGCCGAGGGCGGCGCGCGCAGCCGGCCCCCCGGCCCCCGGTCGGCCGCATTTCCCCGGGCTCGTGTGATAAAAAGCAGCCCCAAAGAGCCTCTCCTTCTATTTCTCCCGATTATAACGCCAAAGAATTGGAACGATCCCCCCTTTCCCCCCCTTCTCTCGACATGTGTCAGTCAAAAGCTGTTGTCCTACGTCATCCCGAGCACATGGCTACTTATCATACGGCGGCGACACGGAGAATTAAAGGCCCCGCACGCATTTAAAGCGACGAGACCTGTTTGGTTAAATGTACATTAATATTTGAATGGTTTTGGCCTCATGAATGGCTCCAGGTTTGTTTGGTTAAATGTACATTAATATTTGAATGGTTTTGGCCTCATGAATGGCTCCAGGTTTGTTTGGTTAAATGTACATTAATATTTGAATGGTTTTGGCCTCATGAATGGCTCCAGGTTTAAAAAGTTAAGTTAAAAAATATTTAAATAGAGAAGACAAGGATTTAATCAATTAAATGTTTATTAGAAAGGTTAAAAATGTATAACATAAGCAGGGAAATTGCAGTGTAGAAGCAGCATTACACACAGTAACAACAAACACACACACACACACACACACAATCAAAAAAAGCAATATAGAATGCAATATAAAAAATGTATAAATAACCAGTATAATGCAGTCCAAAGTAAAAATAAAAAATATAAGGTGCAATGAACAGATGAAACATATAAGGTGCTTGGATGATACAGTACAGTTGGATAATTTTAATGTTTTTTTGACCTCTTCTCAGCCAGCCACAGCTCCACAGTCTTCCCTTCATAAAGAGCACAGAAGTGCTCTCCCCCATATTGGCTGTGGCCAAAGTCTTTCTGCTGTGGCTGGCCACAGAGCTGGCAGATCCTCAGTTTGTGGGGCTTCCTCACTTTCCCCCCGGTTTCTCTGGTTTCTCATACCTTCATTTGAGGTTCCAGGCTGTTGTTCTGGGGAGCTTCTGCAGCTCACCAGGGCCAAGCTGTTCCCTGGTCCACTCTTGCACTGTGCGTCCTCCAGGGCCCTCTTTCACAGCACAAAAGTATTGGCCCTTGAAGTACGCGTGGCCACCATCCACCGTGCGTGCTTGGTCACAGATGTAGCAGGGGTCCCCAGGCTGGTGCTGTGGCTTTCCCCTGGTACTTTGGAGGACTTTTTTGTCCTTTGCCGCTTTAATTTTGCGCCTGTAGACAGTGCAACGGGTGGGCTTGCTGGTCCCCGCCACTGGCTCTGCTGCCTGAAGCTGTCGAGGAGAGGAGCTGGAGGAGGAGGAGGATGACGAGGAGGATGAGGAGGCTGAGGAGGAGGAGGATGAGGAGGATGTGCAGTCGTAGTCCCCTAAAATATAAAATACAATACAGAACTCTGTTAGTCAAGGTACATAGAAACACATATGTAGTTTTAAAAAGTGTATTTGTAACAAACCTAATGAAGTGACATGTCTGGTTTTTCGCTTTGCTTTTCTGCCTTCCATTCTGTCCAAATAAAATGCTTGAATGAATTGACTGTCTGTTTTTTGCCTTTTTTTTGAAACCCCTCTTGGGGGAGACACACCTACCAGTTCGGCCCTCTCTCAGTCCGGTCAAACCCCCAAGTTCTCGCAGGAGATAAGAGCCCCCCTGTTGTTTTAATCAGGAAGCCAGGAGGTGAGAAGTGAAGGCCCCTCGGCACCCCCTGTTGTTTTACAATGTCCACTTGTAAAAGGCCAATTCTCACCTAGTCTCTAAGTAAGCCTTTGAACCTGACCTGGTTGACCCCTTGACCCTAGTTTCAAGTGAGGAGAGGGAATGATGTATTGTGACTGTAACTTGTGGGGATTTACTGATATCAGGCACCTATTCTAGATACCTAGTCTTCCCTATATTTATTTAATTTCTTAAAGGCAGAAAGAAGCAGGAGAAAGCATTGGTTTAAAAAAAGAAAAGTTTATTTAAACTAAAACAATTAAGACAACTATATACAACTATATAGATATTGGAATTTGCCCATTGTGGGACAAATAAAAAGGTATAACTTATATATGACAACTATATACATAATATTAATTTAACAAACACAACTGACTAACTAAATACACTATATACACAATATTTACAAATCCCTCCCTCCCAAACACACACACACACAAACAAAGTGTTCGCTCAGGGAGGGGGAGCTGCCCCATCACACACACTCACACACACACACACAAAGTGTTCGCTCAGGGAGGGGGGGCCCCCCCACCACACACCTCACACACACACACACAAAGTGTTCGCTCAGGGAGGGGGAGCTGCCCCATCACACACACTCACACACACACACACACACACACAAAGTGTTCGCTCAGGGAGGGGGAGCTGCCCCATCACACACTCACACACACACACACACACAAAGTGTTCGCTCAGGGAGGGGGGGGCTGCACCATCACGCCCCTTCACCTCTGCCAGCCACTGCTCCACAGTTCTCCCTTTCCCGTCGGCCCGGGAGCAGAAGGTCTCCGTCTTGTAGCGGCTGTGGCCAAACGCCCGCGTCTTTGGTTGGCCACAGTGCCTGCAGTTGAAGTGGGAGACCTTCTTTGCTGGTTTCATATATTCTCCCAGCTCCCGGGCACGACGCTCTTTCTCCTCCTGGAGCTTGCGCCTCCAGGCAGTGTTTCTAGGCACTGGTGGAGCAGTGGCAGCTGTGGCTGTGGAGGGGGTGACACCTGCCTCTGCGCTGGCGGACGGGACGGCGTCTGCGCTGGCACTGGTGGACGGACGGCGTCCGCGCTGACACTGGTGGAGGCTTGTGGGGTGGCTGAGGAGGAGGAGGAGGTGGTGGCAGTTGAGGAGCTGGCGACGATGAGGTCGTATAGCTCCGGGGCCAGCGGCCCTCTGATGGTGGCAGCCAGACCAGAAGCGTCCGCAGGCAGGCGGTGCTGGAGGGGCTGGTCTGGCTGCTCAGGCTGCTGCAGCACAGTCCGTGGGGCAGGCAGGGGCTCCGCTGCAGTCTGGGAAGCGCTGGGCCCCGGGACTGCAATGGCGATGGTGTCCCTCATCATCGCCTTGCTCCTCTTGGTGTGCCTTAAAAAACAGAATGTAACAAATGCACATTAGTAATCATGACATCACACACACACACACACACACACACACACACACACACACACACACACACACACTCTCACACACACACACACACACACACACACAATGCCACTTCAGATCAGATGTGAGAGAAAGGATCAGGTCTTAACATTGCGTCAGGGTCCGCTGATTGACCTCATACAGCTGGATGCGGGTGCCTGCATGAGGGCTGCACAACTATAAACATTCTCTCGAATTGTTTGATAGTCCCTCATGACGGCACTCCAGCGATGAATGCGGACCCCGGCAATCGTCCTCCCCTCACTGCAGTGGAGGATGCTGAGGTCCAGCAGGACAGCCTCCACAAGCCTCGACACATCGGGAGACTGCGCCGCTCCCGCCCCCTTGCCCAGGACCGCACTACATTGACACACAGAGAGAGAAGAGAGAGAGAGAGAGAGAGAGAGAGAGAGAGAGAGAGAGTGAGTTAGTTAGTGACTGACAGCACAGAACAAGAACCAAACAAAGCTTGGAAATTTATTGTGACTGCTTACCGCTTCACACTATCCACCCCTGGTGTGTGAGCGTGCCGCTGGGTGGTCCTGAATCGGCCCTGGACGAGCCGGTCCTGGTGACGGGGGGGGGAATGTGACCGCCGCCTTGTCCCAGTCACTCAATTTCAGCCAGAGAGCGGTGACCTCTCTGGCTTGCCTGGGAGTGACGTAGCGGCGGTGGCGCAGTTCCACGAGGGCCTGGGCCAGGGCCACGACATGCTGGTAGCTGCCTCGACCGTCTGGCCCGATAACGTCCTCCTCCTCAGCCTGCTGCACCTCCATTAGGTCCAAGCGGGGGGGGGGTGAGGTTTGAGGACTGAAGGAGAGCGCTGTGGTGTTCGAGGAGACGAATCTCCTCTGGCTCCTCTTCCTCCTCCTCCTCCTCCTCCTCCTCCTCGAACCCTTCATCACTGCCCCCCCCGCTTCCTCCTCATCAGTCCCTGGAGTGTCAGGAGATGTTAAATGACAGACACCTAAGACAGGTGTTAAACGTTACTGTTACCTCAGACAGATTTATGACTTACCTGTGTACTCCCTGGGCACGGTGTAAGTGTCGACCAGCGTGAGCCCAAGAAGCTCTTGGGTCAGCTGGTCGAAGCTGTGCTGCAGCTGGGCACTGTAGCAACGCAGCGCCGACCTCTGTCCTCCCTCAACTGCCGCCCTGCCTCGATTCTCGTTCCACCGCACCAGGCCCTCCAGCAGGTAACCCTAACCCTAACCCCCTAACCCTAACCCTTTCCCCCTTTCATTTCCCCTCTGAAGAAGTGCCGGCGAGGCACGAAACGTCAGGGGATCCTGCTCTGTCAGCGGAGCCGCTGCCGCTCCTTAAACTTTTTAATTAGTCTCTTTATTATTCGGAACCAGGACCCTCGTTGGTTTTTTAAATTTAAATCATTAAAAGTTACGTTTTAATAGCACCCGGTGTGAACACCTTGCCTACCTGAGCGCTTCATCCTCCTCTCCCTCAACTGTCGGCTTCCTCCTCTGTTGGATTAAAAAGAAATAAGACTTTTTCCACCCAGTCTACTCCACAGAGAACCCGGAAACACGGAACGACATGACGCAGAAACCGCAACAACCGCATGCAGCGAGATGGACGCAGGTGGGTCACACACACACGGGTGCACACAGGGCGGAGGGCAGCGGACCCCGACACGAGCGGGGTCGGGGGGAGCAGGCAGACCCGCGGCTGCAACTTACAGGACCCCTCCCTCTCTCTCTTTTTCTTTTTCTCCCCACACACAGAGCGGACCGGAAAGCAGACACAGCAGCACACACGGCACAAACAACACTGCACATACGAACACACACACACCAATTAAACAGGCACTGGACACATCCACCCGTTTTGCAGCTAAACATCACTTAAAACTTATACAAGCCACACATCATCACAACAACATACAGCAGGCTTTTGAGGAGGGCGAAATTCCTAAAGGGATGTTACGCAAAACAACCCTAACCCTAACCCTAACCCTGGCCAGCTTCATAAAACCATCCTCTCCATCACAAAACACAACAGACACACTCAAAGAAAACACACTCACTTGGTTATGGCAAAACATGCACATTTTATTAGCACATTACAAAGACATAATCACACATCTCCTTAACACCCCTGGCAACAAGTTGGCGTTTACAGTAGCCACACAATGGGCTCTTAGACGCTACGGCAACAGAATCGATCCAGACACAATTACATTTGCACATGATCTGCTCTTCACCACAGCCACTCTTTCTAACCCTTCCTCCCCCCTGAAATATTGTGATTCAGATGAGGATTTTTCTTTTTCCCTCCCTCCTCACCTGCCTAACACGGAGCCCTCTTTTCCTCAGCCTAACCACATCTCTCCACAGCCTCTGGACAACACCCCAGTCCCAGACTACCACTCACCTCCTACTTCCCCCCACAGGCGCTGCCCCCAGAGGACGGTGAATGCCATGGCTCCCGAGGACTGCTGTCAGCCTGGAGTAACAAACATAATTACTCAAAAAAACAATAATGACACACAGGGCTCCCAGTCCCGCAGTAGCACCCCAACACCTACCTGCGTTCATGCAGAGTCTGGCCTGGGGTCAGTATTAAACGGCACCTTCCATCTCCCGGCGCCCGCGCCCAGATCACATCAGGGTGGGGAGAGCGCACCCACTGAGGCAGAGGCGGCTCCCCGGTGTAACACAGAATCTGTGAGGAAAAATGAAATGATGAGTAATTTAGGTCAAAAAGTCAACATGACAGACTACTATTCCAACTCTGATCTTTCCTCACCCATTCCAAAAATACACCTGCCGGGGAGACGTACCGAGCCGAGGGGCTCTCCCCACCGGGGCGCGGGCGCATGCGCAGACACAGCCTCTGACCCCACTTACCATCAGGCCAGAGACAACCGCAAGCTGCGGGACTGGGAATTCAAAATTAATAAACCAATTGCCATACTGGGGGATTCAAACATACACAGAATCCCCAAATTTAACCACCCTTTTGTCCAGGCTGACAGCTACCCGGGAGCCTCCTTCTATCATTTCTGGAAGATTCTGGAAAAAACACCAATTAACAGAAACCCAAAAGTGCTGATCCTCTCGGTGGGCCTAAATAACAGGGCTCAGGATCCCCACAACACCTCTGTGAAACAGCTCAGAACTGTGGTCAACAAGGCTTGCTCGGCCTTCCCTAATGCTTCCATAATCGTTCCTATTATCAACCATTCACCACATCTACCAGCAATAGAACAGCACAATCTGGCAATAATCAATAATCACATAATAAAACACTATACACATTTCTCAGCTTTCCCGGACCAGGATTTCATAACACAAACTGACAACATACAGTGGACTACAGAGACAGCCAGTGCTATCTTCTCCCACTGGCTAGGGGAGCTGGACAACTTAATTTCAGACCTACATGACACATAGATTAATTACAGCACATCACACACAAGATAATTCACAACACATTACATCATAGTTATTCAACATGTTATTACAACCTTATACATAACTCATACGGCACCATGGACTTTTACCAATTTCAAATGTATCACTTACCTCTTAAATTCACATTGGGAAGGCCGAGCTTGACGTGTTGTATCATCATCATCATCATCATCATCATCATCCCTACTCATTTTCATTACCATCTCCACACCTCATTATTCACCTGAACCTGTATGCAGGATAGAGAGCGGAGGGAACTCGGCCCGTTACCATCTCCGGACCAACACATCAGACTTGGAAAATTAAGAGTGACACTATTCAATAATTCAACTCACTATAATTTTATTTAAACAATACCAATAAAAAATCATGAATGTCACAATCTCCACTTTCTCTGTCTGGATTTGTCCTTTTTACATTCTGTCCCATATGCATATTGACTCTCTCACACCACTAATTTGTAATAACCAACTTACCTTGTGTTCTGATTGTCATTTCTCATATGCATAATACTTCCTGAGCTGCACCTTTGACAGTGTAAACACACCTGGAATTAGCACGTTGCATCACGATTTAATTTTACACAATTTATTTCGTTGATGTGTTGCCTCCTGTGTTTCACCAGTTTTTATTTTATTTTCTTTCTGAAATTATTTCTTAAAAAATATATTTTATTTCCAGGGAGGCGGGGTCTGCAAGACGGACCGCACGCCCCCAGGCCAGTGCACCAGAGCCCTGATTGGGTTGCTAACTTCACTCACTTCGAACCTAACCCTAACCCTAACCCTAACCCTAACCCTAACCCTAACCCCTGACCCTAACCCCTGACCCTAACCCCTAACCCTAACCCTAACCCCAAACCCTAACCCCAACCCCTAACCCTAACCCTACCCTAACCCTAACCCCTAACCCTAACCCTAGCCCCTAACCCTAACCCTAACCCTAACACCTAAAAACCTTTTATAACATCTAAAAAACCTAAAAATCTTAGATCTAAAAAATCAGTAAAAATATTAAAAACTCCTTTAAAATATTCATCCTTTTGGTATACTAAAAGAAACTTACAAACCTCTATTACAATCTCAAATCTAAATAAGGTACTATGTCTATTTCTTTAAACAAGAATCTCAATATACAAGCTGACAGTGTAGAGTAGACTAGGAGGGACACACCCCGAAGATTGATCATCTTTGGGTGGACCTTCCTTGGGGGAGAGTGTCTGGTGATAAGTGGTCGAAACGCTCGTTGATCCCAAGGCGCACTACTGAGGATGTGTCCCAGTGAGTACAGACTTTGCAAGACATCAATCGAAAAAACAAACTCTGTTTTCTCGCGTTTGAGGCTTCGCGGACAGCAATGTCCACGTGCCTTTAAATTCAGACACTAGGGCTAATGAGTAGAGATGTCTGTCATGGTGTCATGAGAGCATTCATGCTCCCGTCGGCACTCCTGTAGTTCTTCCTTGCACCCACCACATTCCCTCCTGGGGTCCTGCAAACCCACGGGGGGATTCAGGTTTAAAAGGTGTGCCTGGTTGACTCTTGAGAGTTTGATGCGGATAACATGTGATGACCTCCAGCACTGTTCAGAGTACTCCACTTATACCCCTAACAAAGTCTCCTTCTGCTTCAGCGGTCGGACTCCACTGGTGCGGACCACATGGAGGTGACTGCAGTAGCAATAGAAGGGGAAAACATCTTGCTCTGTCTCAAACTCATGTAGCTAGTATTACTATAAGAAATTCAATAAAATCATTAAACAAATACCAAAACTATAAATCTCTGACCGCTTATTAGATACCATCTATTTATAAATACTCTGATCTCTCTTAAAGCCATCCTAATTTACTCGCTAATACCTCATCAACTCCTTCGTATAACCTAACAAATACCTAAACTTAAAAGCCCTAGCTTTAAACTTACGATTCAATCACTTTAACTTGATAATACAAATTATGATCTTACCAGTTCGTTCTTTCCAAAACCTAACATCACGACTTCAACCCTAAACTTAATCTCCTAACTTAAAACCGCCAATATTCCATTCCTTAAACCCTGTAACCTTTATTATAACCTTACCAGGTTGATTTAGTGCACTTCCTCTGTCTCCCAAAAAAACTATGTTGTCGTTGGTCAACATAGGGAGAGACTCTGAGTAGTTATCTACTAAAACCTAACCCTAACCCTAACCCTAACCCTGAACAGATTGAACCTGCTTTGAACTCTCTACAACCTTCCTGTGAGGAGAAACATGCTCATTAGACCAATGTCTAATGTTGCACTCATCCCTATTCCTAACCCTAACCCTGACCCTAACCCCTAACCCTACCCAAACCCTAACCCCTAACCCTAAACCCTAACCCTAACCCTCTAACCCTAACCCTAACCCTAACCCTCTAACCCTAACCCTAACCCTAACCCAC